GGTAGCATGCGTCTGTAGTTCCGGCTACTTGGAAGGCTGAAGTGGAAGGATCACCAGAGCCCAGCAAGTCGACGCTGAGGTGGCTGTGAGTGTGCTACTGCACTCCACCCTGGGTGATGGAGTGAGACTCCAACTCAAAACCACCCCCCCAAAACAACCTGACTTATGCATGTTAAAAATGGCCCTGAAGAGTCTAAAACCTCTTATCTTTTTGCAAAGCAAAATGTCACACTTTCAACCTTAAAGATTGTGAAAACCTTTTTTTAAAATGTTAAGGCATTTCCATGTTTCCTGAAAGATGTGTCATTATGCCATAAGTTCTCCAAATAAAATGAGCAGGAAGTGGATAATATGTTAGCTGGAACCAAAGAACAATAAGGAAAGCTAATACTCCCTCTTCATACCAATCCTCACACTTTACCACCACTAGTAAAACCAAGCAGGGACACTAAATCAAATCCTTTCTTTGTCCATCACCTCAACAGTGGTTCTCTTCCTACAAGGCAGAATAGCCTGACTCTGGTCATGATCTGGGCGCCCCTTATTTCCAATACCCAAATCTATTCTTGACTTTTTTCCTGAAAACACATCCCAAGTTTCTACCTGCCTGGTGGGCATCACCTTACAGATGCCCCAACACCCCTTTCTAAGGTCTCATGCCCCAAGACAAACATAACTCAGCTACAAATCCCAATCCTATTCCTTGCTCCATGTTACTGGGCTTTTTGAAAGTATCATCATTACCCAGACCACAGAGACCACTTAGGCAGAGATCTCTGCCTTGACTAAGATTCAGACAGAGCAAATTACCTCCCTAAGCCTGTTCCGCTTTCTGTAAAAGTTGACAATGACGGTATCTATTTTAAATGATCATTAGAGGATTAAATGAGATAATGATAAGTAGGCAAGTTATCATTAGATATTTCCCTTCCTCACTCTCTATATTTAATCACTGATCAAGGCCTATCAACTCTGCCAACCAAATGTCTTTCAAATCCTTCCCCTATTTTCTATTCCTACCAAAAATCTCAATCTCATGAGCATTGAAAGAAGTCCTTTGCACACTGAATGAGGTTTGGACACAGCATTTCTGGCCTAAACAATTGCAAAATTCTTTTTATTTATTTATTTGTTTCTTTGTTTGTTTATTATAAAGATGTAGGGTACAATTAAGGGTTGGGTATATAAACATCGACCATGCAGGTACCCTTATTGATGAGGTATGCCCCTCCCTCCCCTAGCAGCTTCCCTCAACTGCCAGTCCCACCTCCCCTCCTGACAGTTTTCCACTACCAATCGCTTTCTTATAGCATTATAATCGTTCAAGATTCTTAGACTAGTCACCTTGCTTCCCTTTCTCTCCAACCTGCTGGCCTATTACAACTCATGAGATAAGGCTATGATGAGTCTTATTCCTTTTGTTCATTTTGCCAAAACCCAGCATAGTGGCTGACAGGACAGGCATTCAACAAAACTTCTTGGAAATGCTGACTGAATTTCCAAATTTCCAAATTCATCATCCCAAGCACTAGACACAATGCAGCCATGCTCTAAGAAAAATCTCAATCTCATGAGCACTGAAAGAAGTCCTTTGTACACTGAATGAGGTTACATGACAATCTTATTCTCAGAGCCAATGGTCCTCAAATTCCTGTTTCTCCCCCCTTGAACTCATTGTGGTATATCAACACAGAGTCATCAGGCCTAGATGAGTCGTTAGTAAGCAAGAAGTTTATTCAACATAGGCAGAAATCATAAGACGTGTAAAATAATGGTAACTAGCTAGTAAGTAGGGCATGTACATGTTAAACATAGAAAAAAAGGGATGAGCCAGACACAGTGGTGTAATCCGCACTTTGGGAGGCTGAGGTGAGTGGATTGCCTGAGCCCGCGGGTTCGAGACCCGCCTGGGCAGCGAGACCTCATCTCTACAATAAATCAAAAAATCAGCCGGGCGTGGTAGCGCGCACCTGTAATTCCAGCTACTCGGAAGGCTGAGGCGGGAGGATCGTCGGAGCCCAGCAGGTCGAGGCTACAGTGGCCGGGAGCATGCCATTGCACTCCAGTCTGGGCGACAGAGTGAGACTCCAACTCAAAAAAAAAAAAAAGAAAGAAAGAAAAAAAGGGATGAAAGGACCAAGAAATAACTAATTTTCAGTAGATATTAAATACAGCTGAGGCACCTGGGTTCTAAATATTCATGATACACAAAATATATAAGAGGCACTGAATATTCATGAGTATTCAATATTCATGAGGTCTTAATTTGGCCACTCATTTATTGGTGATATCCATTCTGATCCAACGTGTCCTCTGCCTAAGAAACACAAAACAAAACTCAAGACTATTCAGCAGGCCTATTGACAAACTAGTCATGGCCAGTCACGCTTGTCCCTGCATCTCTCCAATGGAGTAAGTGTGTGCCCTTGGCCCAAGGCCCCTTCTCTCCATGGTTCTCCTTGCTTAAATCTCAATTCTGGGCTCACAACCATATTCTTAATATGGAAGGGTGGTGAAATAGAGAGAGACAGGGCCATTGTTGACCCCAGGATTCAAGCAGTGTGGTCCTTCCACCTACTTGCATTTTGTCCTAAGTGTGTGAACCTACCCCATCTCTTTTCCCCTTGCTTTTTCACTGTGTGTCTTAAATTATTTTAATACATCATGTGATTCGTGCATTTTAATCTGGTCCATGAGCCTTCTGTTCTGTGGCCTCTGGGAGAACCTGCATGCATACTTCTTGGAGGCCACCACTGCATCAAGGTAATATCCCATATGACACTCTCACTGCTGCATAGAGAACAGATTGGAGGAGGAGCGGATGTGGAAGCAGGGAGACCATGTTAAGCAGCTATTGCATTCCTTTAGACAAGAGATGAGGGCAGCTTGGATGAGGATGGTAGTGAAGGGGATGAAAAGACATGGACAGATTCAGGATGTTTTGCTAGGAGAAAGAAGAACAGAGAAGGGTAGATATGAGCAAATAGAGAAAGTAAAAGGAGTAGAAGTTGTAGTTAGAGAATGTAATTTCAGAGTCTGAGCTACCCTCAGAAGTTAGCAATACTTGAAAAGACAAAGAAACAACAATGCACCCAAGAATCATGGCTCCTCAGGGAACAAAGGACCCTGCAAAAGCATTTATACCAAATGACCAAACAAGCACTCAACTCCTATACCTTTACCATGCTATCAGTGAAAAACCACCCCTGACCTGCCCCCAGGGTAATCCATATACACCAGTGAACAAACAAATATGAGACTCTGCTCTCTTCCATCCTTACACCAGGTCCATTCACTACAACTTCTAGCCGTTCTCTTCCAGAAAGTTCTTCCTCTTACTGACCTGAATTCTTACCTCCAGTCCCATTTTTTAGGATACAGAAAGTAAGGCCACCCTTCTTCCATATGATAGCCCCTTAGATTCCTGAAGGCACTTACCAAGCACACCCAAGTCTCCCTGCTACATGCAAATACCTTTTCACTATTCTGTCTTGCACACATCAAATTTTCAGTCATGGTTGCTATCCCTTGAAGGCATCCAGAACTCAGCATCATTTCAAGAGAAGGACTCACAGCACAAACAGAAGAAATCAAACACTTCCACTGATCACTGCCATATTATAATAATGAAACCTAGGACTAGCTTCTCTGGTGGCCACATCACGGAATTAACTCTTATCTGTGGCTGAAGTGGAATATTTGAGGTAACTGTCTGGACATTGACTCTCTTCCCCTATACAGTAAGTCCCCTGCATACAAATGAGTTCCGTTCTGAAAGCATGTGTGTAAGTCCAATGTGTTCATAAGTCCAACAAAGTTAGTCCAGGAACCTAACTAACACAATCAGCTATATAGACTGTACTGGAATAAGCTTATAATACTTCCCAAATAATAAAAACAAATACACAGTAAAGTACAGAAAAGCACAACTACTTGCAGAGAATGCACACACATGACAACGTATGGCAGTCATGTGAACTAACTTGCATGACTGGATGTGCAAATACACATTTGCATCTTTGAAAGTTTGCAACTTGAAGGTCTGTATGTAGGGGACTTACTGTATCTGGCTTCTTTCTGCCTCTGCCTCAGGGAGTAGTAGTCTCTAGCCAAGGCTGTGGTCTTTGCAGGATATGCATATTCCCAGTAAAGAGTCACAGGGTGCAGGTAATTGAGCAGAGAGTTGAAAACAATGTGGGTGGCACTCTTACTCATTGTGATTATAACCACCATTTAGCAAGTTGAATAATTAACTTGCTTGACCATAAAACTGGCTGCTGTACTATCCCACAATGTGGCTTCTATCTTCACCAACCAGCCAACATCCGTGTCTTCTGGATAGATTCTTTCTTTACCCAAGTGACAGTGCCTCCTGTAAGTTCTAATAAACCAATGTCATTCCCTGCTGGACCTCCAGGTGACTTCTTTGGAATATGTAAAAAACCTTATGTGCAAGCCCTCTCAGATTTGGGGCTACCACATTACAAGTATGGATATAGACGACAGGGTATAGGAACAATGACTCTGGTGAGTTACTTTCGAGGTCTGTAGTTAACAAGTATGAGGATGAGGAGAGAGTGATTGAAACAAATGGCAGTACATTCAAGAAAGACAACACCAATCTGGAAGTGGCAGTGAAGAACAGCTTTCTCTTCTCTCCTAAGGGTGTTATAAAGAAAGCAATGTGTTCATGGCAGAGACGAAAGGATCTGAGGAAAAAGTCAAAGACACAGGAGAATGTGCTCATACCAGAACAGCACCTGATAGGATACAATATGCCACGGAAGACTGAGATAACTGCCCAATGGTGAGGTGCGGGGAATATGAAGCTGATAAGTCACCATCAATAACTATACGCTAACAGCATGCTTAAATCCACCACTGCCAACAAGTTAGGTACCTAAGTAATAGCATGAGGTCTTTTAAAAAACTAAGGAAAGACAGTATACAAAGGCAGGAGTTAGAAGTGAAAGAACCATAACTCTACTTTAAATAGATACCTTGAGGCAGTCCGCTATTTTTCAACTCTGGCTCATTTACTTGAATTGTGTCATCTTCAAGGTAGAAGTAGATTTTATAGTATCTTATTCTGTAGTTTTCTTCATCTTCCAAATAGGCATCGAAAGATAATACCTGTTGGAATCATAATTAGAAACTAAGAACTGAAAAAAATTTCAGAAAATTTAAAATCAATAAAGCTACCGCCTGTATACCTTTTGTTAATGTAAAGAAAAAAATTGAAGGAATTTTTCCAAGAATATATTCTATACATCGGCTACACGAATAGATATACAATCTAGGCTACAGTACATAAAAATTATTTCACACTTTCATCACCATCTGGTTAGAACAAGGAAATGATATTCAAGCAATACATCCACCGTTCAGCTCTACCATAAACTGAACGAGAATCTGCCTTTGGGATTTCACAGTGGGATTCTAAATGTATGCATTATAGAGACAAAATACAATTTCTCTTTTTTTTTTTTTTTTTGAGTTGGAGTCTCACTCTGTTGTCCAGACTGGAGTGCAGTGGCCGCTCCCGGTCACCACAGCCTCAACCTGCTGGGCTCTGGCGATCCTTCCACCTCAGCCTTCCAAGTAGCTGCAGCTACTTGGCGTATGCTACCACACCTGGCTAATTTTCTGATTTATTGTAGAGACGAGGTCTCACCAAGTTGCCCAGGTGGGTCTCGAATCCATGGGCTCAGGCAATCCTCTCGCCTCGGCCTCCCAAAGTGCTGGGATTACAGGCTGAGTCACCAAAATACAATTTCCTATAAGAAGAACGGAAGTTTTATCATTTTTTCCCCCATTAACAATAATACAAAGCCACCTTGGTTCTGGGATAAAGTTATTCTGACTCTCCATCCTGCTGATTGCTTTCCTTGAGGTAATTCAAACAGACCAATCTGAAATTCTTCCAATGCACTGAAGATCCCACTTTACACTTCTTTAGAAACCTCTAAGACTCTTAGTTCAATGCTACAGTCAATCACATAGTATGTGTGTGGTGGGGAGGGGTGAAGTAGGACAGGTGGATTCTAAAGCAGTGATGGTAAAAATCAGATAAAAAATATCCTTGAAAATTCCTTAACCGCCGGCCTTGATGGCTCAGGCTGTAATCCGGCGCTTTGGGAGGCTGAGGTGAGTGGATTGTCTGAGCCCGCGGGTTCGAGATCCGCCCGGGCAACTTGGCGAGATCTCATCTCTACAATAAATCAAAAAACTATCTGGGCGTGGTAGCGCACGCCTGTAATTCCGGCTACTCGGAAGGCTGAGGCGGAAGGATCGCCGGAGCCCAGCAGGTCAAGGCTGCGGTGGCCAGGAGCGGCCACTGCACTCCAGTCTGGGCAACAGAGTGAGACTCCAACTCCAAAAAAAATGTCGATCAGCTTGAGCATAGGATTTCGAGGCTGCAGTGAGCTGTGATCATACCACTGCATTTCACCCTGGGTGACAGAGCGAGATTCTGTCTCTTAAAAAAAATAAAATAAATTAAAAAAAAAAAAAAGGAAATTCCTTAACCACTTTAGAAAACTGCCTGTCAGTAAGTAAAACACAGCCCATTTTTCTCCCTGTTGAAGCAGATGATTGCCTGCCTCTTCCGTTGAAGACCAGTTAAAATAGTTTATTTATGCTTAGGTGCCATGTTGTATGAATAATATATATATCCTTAGCCATTGGAATCACGCTCAAAACGGTGTCTTGCTCACACACTGAGGCGGACATGGTAAATGAGGACAACTGTGGGAATTCAAGCTACCATTTCAAGCTTGACTGGGGCACAGGTTCCTTGAGAGTAAAGGGATGCAGGGAAATTCACCCCACAATACAGCATTTTTCCTCAAGGTCTCTCTGACCTCCCATGCCCACCCCCACCTCTCCATTCTCACCCAAGCAGCTTCCTCTACCTGTTATGAGAAAGGAGAGAAAGAATGCAATCAGCCCTGGCCCAATCCTTTTGCAAAATAATACCTGTCTCTCAGGTTCATGCAAGTTCCAAAGATAACTATTTGCAAGTTATTTTCTGTTTCCCCCATCCATTCATTCCCCCAACCATGCTTGCCCCTCAGTAGAATTCCTCTTTTCCTACCTCCCATAACCTGTTTTACCAGAATGCAATCCCCCCAATTCATCCTGTTACCTTGAGATAGTATTTAAGTTTCTCTAATTCATTGGGAAGTTGAATCTTCATTTTGAAGGCTCCCATGTATACACAATAAATAAAATTTGTATGCCTTTTCTCCTATTAATCAATCTTGCCTCAGGCCAGTGATTTTTCAGCAAATCTTTAGGGAAACAATGGCCATGGCCCCCATAAGAGCTCCATGCAAATATTCCCTTTGTCTCTCTTTTTTGATCAATTTTTACAATCAAAGTTATAAAAGTTGCAGCATATGATGGTAACTCCAGGGTTATTCAATGTGGACAAAATGATATATATAAGTGAGTCTGTTAAGTGCAATCTACCCTCCAGGGGTGGTCAGTTATTCTAATGCATAATACACACTATAGGAGTGTTTAACAAATTTCTGTCAGAAACCCACACTTCAGAAGTGGCTAACAAAATGCCTCAGTAGTCTTTTATCAACTGAAGAAGCTTTGTTAATTACCATAAATGGTGTTAGAAATGAGTCTTAGTTAGTGAAACTATTATACTCAAAATACATAGATCAATTACAAATATTGACCAGCCACTGTCCATACAGAAACAGGTTCTAAGAATCTGGTGAGCCCAGGGATCTATACCATTCAAAATGGCATCTATGACTTCATTCCAAAATGGTCCTATGTTCAGCTCCTTTCTTAAGGAATTTATCTGGCCTGACTCCAATTACAAGGCTAGCTAAACCCCATTGCTAGAATGCTGTCACATTTGTACTGAGTAAACATTTCAGGTTGGATGAGTACAGGGTTTCCTTCTGAGTTGATGAATATGTTTTGGAACTAGATAAAAATGATGGCTGTACAATATTGTGAATGTGCTAAATGTCACTGAACTGCACACTTAAAAATGGCTAATGGTTAATTTTATGTTATATAAATTTTCCCTCAGCTAAAAAGGTGTTAGACACTGAATTGTGTTCAACACTTTAAAATGCTGAGTTTTATGCTATGTAATTACATCTCAATTTTTTTTTTTTTTTGAGTTGGAGTCTCACTGTCACCCAGACTGGAGTGCAGTGGCCGCTCCCAGCCACCGCAGCCTCGATCTGCTGGGCTCCGGTGATCCTTCTGTCTCAGCCTTCCAAGTAGCTGGAACTACAGGTGCGCGCTACCACGTCCGGCTGATTTTTTGATTTATTGTAGAGATGAGGTCTCGCTGCCCAGGCGGGTCTCGAGCCTGCAGGCTCAGGCAATCCATTCACCTCAGCCTCCCAAAGGCGTGGGATTACAGGCTGAGCCACCGAGCCTGGCTGTTCTCAATTTTTTAAAAGTAGGGGCAAAAAGATGTCAGAACACTTAAAAGGACAGAGGGCTGGGGATTCATCAAGCTTTCACAATAAGTAGCATTCAATCTGAGGTTTCTTTTCCTTTGTAATCGGGTAGGAAAGTGTAGGGAGAATAGTCTTAGCTTTCACCCATCTCTATGTATTGAATGCTACTAGTATAAATTTTGTGAATGACCGAACTGGCATAGGTCAGTTGACAACAACTGCCATGTATATAATCATTAAATATTAATCAAATGATACGTTAAAAGAGAAGAAAAGATGTTAAGTGGAAATAAAGAAAAAAGAAAAGACATTATCTTAGGCTGGACTTCAATATGTCTAGAAGGACAGACTGATATTGTTTGTTCCAGTCCCACAAGTATACAGAACTGCTGAACTCTAGCATGAAAGATAAAGAGCAAGTGCAAAAGTGGTAGAGGTGGAAAGATAGAAAAGGGAGAGGAAATTATAAAACGTGGCAAAGCAGAATGTAAGGGAAGAGATACCAAATATATTAAAAATTATCTCACAAAGATAAATGACTTAATTGTAAAAAGAACTTGATGTATCAGAGAATCCAGAGAAAATAACCTAAAATAAAAACTGTTAGAAATGAAAATTTATAGAAACATAATTATGATATAATGTTTTATCATAATTTATGATAAGTTGAGCAGAAACTAGATAAATAAGGTCCTAAAAAGTATGTAATTGGCTGCAATTTTCTTGAAAACAATGCAAATGTCATTTGGTGGGGCCATGTGATCTTCAGTCCCCCACAGGCCTCTCTACAGGCCCTACAGTAATATATGAGCCTAGATCCCCAAGGCATTTGGAGTTTTGATACTAAGCCTAGAGGACATAAAATTTGAAATCAATTAGCTGCAAATAACAAGTACATGGTTTCTTCATTATAAGGGGAAAATTATAAATGTTAATATTTTTGAATTCAGGATGTTCTTACAATTCAGGCTAAAAGAAACTCAAATCAGAAATGCATTTAAATGGGCAAGCAGCTGTAACTTGATGTAAAGTGCAAATCTAGCTTTGTAGGGAAAGAGTTAATCCTGTTTTCATGTCATTTGAGTTATCTGCTTTGCATTACATTTCCCAAACAGCTGGATTTTAACATTAATTTGGATTCCTAATTTTCACTTAAAATAATTTCAAAATGATTACTCTCTGAGGCAGTATGCCACAAAAAATAATTGTTTAGAGAAAGTTGTCCATCACAGGCAAGGCAATGCAATCAGAAGGCAAAAGCAAATGCTTAATCTCTCAGAATAAATCATACAATTTTTAAAGATGCGGAGTTGGTGTGACCAATGCATGAGCCATAAAGACTATTACACAGGAACGAAACAAAACGTCTAAGTGTAAAAAACTCACAGCTGGACTTGTAGAGAAGCTGTTAGGAAAGAAAGATGAAACACCAGTAATGTTCAGTGAGGCTCAACATTTTATAAAGAGCTCAGCATCACAAGTCCAAAATAAAATATTTAGACTCTATATTTTATGAAAAAAGCTCAGGCTTAAATTGTGAAGTACTAAAAATGGGTTATAATGGTCAGGATAAATGCATGCTTTTATAAGTTAGCTAGTAAATGATCAAAATTTTGTGTACATTTAGTGCAGTGTTGTTTATTCTTCTTGAAAAAGCTGTTATTAAGAGAATAGCTTCTCTCATGCTTATGG